CAATGATATTGACAGTAAGTAAGGGGCCACCAGAGATCCAGCCAGGATCACAGGGAACTGCCCCCATTGCTGAAATGAAGAAAAAAATTTTGAAGACTGATTTTTCAGCACTGGTCTTAATGTTGCAGAAGATTGTCTCTTCTTGTCCATGAAATAGGTTATTTTCTTGGGCAGAATGAGGAAAGGCAACATGTAATCAAGACTATCCAGGACTTGGTTGGGTAATTCATGAGACAAGAAAATCACAGACACGCTTTGAATTTTCAGTTACATAGATGGTAGTTTTATCCATAACAGCTACATGCTTGGCACAGATTTAATTGCAGGTTGGGATATCCCAGCATTTGAATTTGGGCCACATTTTGCTTTTGGCTGGACAGGTGCTTGAAGCAGCACCGAACCTGAAATCGGAATTAGACTTGCCTATCACAGAATACACTACGCCAGAAATTGTTGAAATATAACTCAAGTACTCTAGTATTCCTCAGTCTCAAATGGAAAGGTAATTTATAATTTAAACTACCCATATTACAATATTTCCTAATTTTTACTATGAAGACTAGACATAATCATTACCATAACACACAAATATCTGTATATTGTTTCACTAAATATTCAAACATATATAGCAATGACACAACCTACATAACAATGACATAACCTAGATACAAGATTTCACAATCCAATTTCAACAAAATTTGAAGCACATGATTGCTTATTTCCCATCATGTCTAATTGAATAACTATATCCCAAAAGCTGTACTACTCAGTGCACAGATTTTTTAACATATATACTTCAGGCCATAAGCCAGTTATTCCTTTCAGATCCTTTTCTTTACAATCAGTGTATAATAAGTATTAAACTATTTGCTGCACAAAACACGTACAGACCAGACACCAACCAGAAATACATTTAAATATTTTTTAAATTAGTATTTGAACTTCGAACTCTCAAGACTGAGAAACACCTTCACTCAAAAGTTATATATAAGTGATTATATACATTCATTGTAAAACCAAAATAAAGTTTCAATAGAAAATTAGTTTCTTTGAAAGGAAGCCATCTTAGTTCTGTCCCTTAATTGAAAAACAAAGCTTCTCTGAGATAATCCATGCTTGCAAAGAAATCAACTGCTTAAGTCAGAACATGTTCAGTATCGTTCTTTCACACATCAGATTTTGAATTTGTCTGCAATGAATCCCGAGTACAAGGTTCCTAGTGGTCTCTTTTTTTACTAAGTTTATCCTTCTGATATGAAATAAGTTTTCACAGTTTTAGAGATTAAAGTTCCAATGGTTATATTAGCACAAGTGTTTAGGGTAAAACTAGTTGGAAAAACACCAAACCATGAATTTATTACATTTAGATTCTCTTTAAACCCTTAAAAAATAAACATAGAGCAATCATACAGTGTATTATTTTGATGAGCGAAACAAAGGTATTTTTCACTCTTATTAAAATGTATACAAAACGATTGCTAAAGAAAAGAAAAAGAGCACGCAAATCTAAGTTTACGCTTACTTTTAAGTATACAAATGGCCCATTCGTCAGCTAAGTCAACAGGGCAAATCATATGCTTAAAATTAAACATATACATAAACTTTCATGAGATCCCTCCCAGTGGAAAAAGCTGTTAAATAATTATCACTCTATATGCCCATTCTAGACAAAATCTCACACTAACCTAACCATTTCCACTGCAATAAAAAGTAAACTTTAGACTCAATTTTTCCTAGCTTTAGAGGTGCAGATGCCTTTACCTATTCATTCTATGTCTTTTATTATCTGCTGCCTAATCCAAAGAAAGGTTATCCAAAACCTATCTGCAAAAACTCAGCAGATGGACCAATTCAGAAGGCCATCTACAACAGAACCCCATGGTAAAGTCATAGTGCATAACATACTGAAAAGAAATATAGAAAGCCATATTTCCGTTTGCTCATTTGTACAGCTTCTAGACATATTTCTTTTCCCATGACACTCACTTCTCATGAGCCTCTCCCCTTTCTCATCCACTATCATCTTTTCCTTCTGCCTTTACCCTCCTTTTCAGCAGTAAGAGGAAAAAGCAAATCTCCGGGAGGAAACTGTTACTTCTAACCAAACTTCAAAGAAAAACAGATGAAACAGCTATGAGGAGTTTTTTGCTCTTTGGGTACTTCAGTCAGGTATGTTCCTCTATCAAAGAGTTCTACCAGCAAAAAAAAGATTACTTCCAATATCCTCCACACTAGCAACTGTTTCTTTTAGATCATCCTTGTATTTAGTCCCTCCCCTCAAATTTAAACTTGGGTTAAATGTGTCTTCATTCAGGGCTAAGCTGCATCACCAAAAGTTGAATTTGGATGTAACAAGCACAAGGAGAGAAGCACAGCTCACGGACTTGATTAGGTTGCGCCTTCTACATTCATCAGTCATTGCTAAGATAGCCAAAGATAGAAAATAGAAAGACAAAAGACAGAAACAAGATATTGAAAAAGTTATACAAAAAGCACTCATAGCCCACAGTAATTGTATTTACTGCTGCTATCACACTCCATCAATATTCAGACACTGCAGGTGCACGCTACTGATTCACAGCAAATGTCTACTTTCCTAAATTAGTATCCGTGCTTCAGTATCATAACATGCAACATGGGGAGCAGCCACACATCAGACCTCTTAGATACAAACTAGTCTGGGCAGCAAGCATTTTTCTAAAGCTTGCATATTAAAGCCTAATTGGTACCTCTGACCTTGACTACCGCTTTCGGCAAAAACACTACCGTGGTGCAGGATTTCTAGAGATTTATATGCCAATGTTCTCGAAGAGATCTTAGGATAAATGTGGTAACGCATGCCTGAAATAACTGACCCATCTCTTGCAAGTGCTGCTCTCTGGATAGCATCTTCTGTCTCTCAAGGCAATGCGCAAACTGATGAGCAGCATTTTTTAGAATATGCAAGGGAGATGCCACACGTTTACCCACAGACGTTCTTATCTCAAAATGTTATCTCCATCAAGTTACTGCAGGAGTCAGAATGCATATGCTGATGAAATGCAAACATGAAAAAATTCATTTCATTTGAAAATTTTGAAAACTGTCCAATTACATATATAGAATATGATTAGTATGGGTATCTCTGGGCTTGAGTTTTTGGGAGGTTTTTTTGTTTGTTTTTTTGTCAGAAGCAATTCTGCAAGACAGTCTTCCGCAACAATATCCCTTAATAAAGGGACCTAAACTTAAATATGCACAAACTGGTATGCTTTTCAGGTGGTCTGAATTTCTGTTGGCTTTCAAAAATATGAGGGCCAACAACTTTATTCTGTAAAATTATCCCAACAACATAGAGTATCATTCTATGCAAGTAAAAGGAGGGAAGCAATGCCATAATATATAGAAATGTTTTCATAAAGGTCTTATACTTTTATTTAAGTTCATCACTCCAGTGACTTCAATGGTATCTAGATGTACTTAAATTATCTTTATACTCAAAAGGATACTTATTTAAATTGATTGTCATTAAAGACTATCAGACTTCAATAGCAACTAAAAATGTCAGCATATTTGAAAACTTCTCAAAGCTAAATTACTTAAGCTTTTAGAAACCTAATATTAGACAGCAGTGTTTAAAAATCTGGACTTATAAGGACTATCCTAGCAGTACACATTATAGTTCACAGCAACATATACCACAGAATGGAAGTACTGAAACGGTCCCACTTAGAGTATCCTCTTATGAATTTCATCAATACTCTCGATGTTTCCCCCTCTAATTATATTATTTTTAGCATTATAGGTATAGGATTTCCCCTCCTCCCCCCCAAAACGAAGTTTCAGCTTCTCCCCTATCTGGAGTGGGGAAAGGGAGCACGACACCAACGCGCAAAGACACAATTCAGGAGCACCGTGAAGCAATTTTTTTGCTAGAGGGAACAAAGTGACAATACGTGCTCCAAAGCATGTCAGAAGTACCTGATTAAGAAAGGTGTGGTCTGCTTCTGCTAGTTACAACATTTACAGTTTCAGAGCCAATGCAGCTGTAAGGCTACTGGCACAACCAGTGCTCTTACTTTTCAAAAAGTGTTCAGCTCTGCCAGGCTATAACGAGGTATAAAGTTGCTATCCTGTTTAATGTTTGACTCCAATTATTCTCAGGTGTCCACATCTAGGAATATTTAATAATCCACAGCTTAGCTTTATTCCAAATAATATCTGCCTAACAAATCTCCAGTAATTAAACTACGCAAGAAGCATGTAAAGGACAAAAATATAATTACTGTATTACTGTGTTAAAAAAAAAAGGGGGGAGAGGAGGGGAGGGAGGGAGAGAGAGAGAAACACCAAAAATATCACACAGTTATACTGAAAAGCACTCAGTATTCTGCTCAGACACGTAATGGGTCTCCAGGGTAAGTGTTCACCTTCCTGAGTACACAGTCTATAAGCAAGCATTTAATTTTCTTAAGGGCTACTGCCATGATTCAACAAAAATATCTACTATAAACATGAAAAATAAAATTACATTGAAATTCTACATAAAACTGCAATGCCCTTTTAGAAGAGCAGCTCACATCCAACACGGTTAAGCACTGAGCACCTCTCAGCCCCGCTGCAGTCAGGAACGTTCAGAACACCTGCAGCTGTGCGGGATGAGACTCCAACCTTTATAAGCAACTGTCTGCTTTTCATCACTTAGCTGTTTCTTTTAAAAACTGCAAAGTACAATGGGGTGGGGATCTCTTAACCAAAAGCCCGGAGGCATTTCGTGTTCAGATAGAACTGAAACACTGCTTAAAAAAAAACAAGTTAAAAAATATTAGAGTTCAGTCTGCTGAAGCTATCTTTGACATAACAAAGCATTTGCTTTAGACCTTCAAGACTTCAGCAATAAAGGTCTCAGCACTGCATACACTGCAACAGTGATCATAACAAAACTTGATAACATGAGTTACAGCTCTCTCTCCCTTTTTATTCAATGTATAATTCAATGAATAAAAAGTCAAGATACAAACCTGGGTCCACGTGCCTAGAGTTTCTTCTAATTCCATTCGTTCGTTTCTGCACAGCAAAAACATAAATCAAAAACATGAATAAACTTGTTTTCATTTAGGCATACTGCACTCCTTTCATTCCCACAATCTACTGACAAAGATAGTTTTCTTAAGTTATTTCCCCTCTGCAATTACCTTTATCTGGTAGGAAGATCATACTCTGAGAATTATTCTTAATACTGCAACAAGTTTATTCATATATCTAACCTTTTTGACACTACACTCAAAAGATTTTGTTAATTCTTAGTATGTAGAAGGTTTCTTCATACATCCAGCATCTTTTGACATCAAACAAAAGGTTGTTTTTTTTTTTTTTTAAATGAGTGTGATGTTAATAGACGCATTCTCTTTCATAGTGAAAGATATGCATTTTGGCATCATCTGCCTCCATTAATGTCCAGGACCACAAAAGTATCATATGCACATAGTGTTGCTTTAATAGGGTAGAAACTTTGCACTTTATACTTACAAGAGTTATAATTTCCTAGGCAAGTCTTAATCTCTTCATTTTCTCAGCATATTTAGTTTAGTAAATATATTTAATTAAATATATTTAGTATCACCCCTTCCTCTTTCTTTTCAAAATTTGGATAAATCAGAGCTGTGTAAAATCAGAAACACTGATAGGACTGAGACATACTGTTTGTAAATGTTGATTTTTACATATTTCATATTCCTAAGCAATGATATGGATCCCTGAAAGCTTCCATGTGAAATGCAGCCTATCTGTAAACTGGTCATCTGCTTTTGCAAGTCTGTTTTAACTGATAGTTTGCATGCAGGTTCGTGCCTTTTTGTTTTGTTTTTTTAAATCAAACCAAGCAGAGAAAAAGCATGTTGCACAACAAAGGGAACAATTAGGTTGCTCCGATTTATTTGCAGTTGATATAAGCTGATGCAGGACACACACAGAAGCAAGCCAGAAAGCAGTAACCTGAGGCACAACCAAATCACTAGGCCCTGTAGCAGGCCGGCAAAACGAACAGCTTTGTTTAAAAACAAGCTCTTGCTTCTTTGGACATATTCTCTCTATACCCCCACAATACTAACTACAGAAAGGACATAAGTTTTGTTTCAGCAGCAGTGGAAAGAAGAACATTTTAAACTTCTAGAAGAAACAAAGGTAATATTACGGAACAAGAAGAAAAAGCTCAATTTTATCTTTTTCCTTTATAAATGGAGGTTGTCTTGCTCATAAGGATTGATGCAGAATGGTGAGTAATTGCATATTTGCACGAGAGGGGGAAATGGGCCAGAAGTGGGAGAAAGCAAGTACAAATGAAGATATAGGAAATTTTAATTTAACTAAAATAATAGTGCCTGTGTGGTAACAAAAATCATGCATATTACAGGATGGAATAGGAAATGATTCTAAGGAAAAAATTCTTAAATTGTATAAAAATATGCTCAATGCCCTTAAAAAAAACACAACAACAGTAGATTTTATTACATTACTGGTATGAAATATAAATTCACCTTCTCCTACATGATAGATGCTCATTTACGCTCAACTTTCCCTCTGCACAAAAAGAATTAAAGCAAGTACTTTTGGATGGCCACAATGTTGTGCGTTTTTTTTTTTTCAAGTTTTGTTCAAAATTATAGAAGTCCTAGCAATTTATCTCAAATCAATAGCCATACAACAATTTTTTCTTATGAAGAGATTTAATAATCAAACTAGGGGGTGAGAAGCCTAAGAACAGGAGGGATTAGATATAATTAGGATAAATATTTTCCTCATCTACCACATATGTTCATCATAGTTGGCTTTATACAGTCTGGCAACTTTGTCCCTAACATACCGTAAGCAATCTGTTTATGGCTTCCCCACTACTGTATGTCAACTGCAGTATCAAGAGACTGTTAAGCAAATGGACCGTGCTTTAATTTTCATATATAAGAAATATTCTTGCTTAGCAGATATTTTTAGGCAGAGATAAGAAAACCAGGACAGTGCATGGCAGAAGGTGTACAGGCACGCTTCCCCAGCGCCGCCGCTCAGCCCAGGCTCCGCCGCACGAACGCTGACGCTGGTACCCTGCGGACCAGCGTCAGCCTGCCTAAGGTTTGCCCTCGCCACCAGTGCCCGGAAGGCCCCGGGGTCGGCCCCCAGCAAGCACTCCAGCATCGTAACGAAGCCCAGACGGTGAATAGCACAGTAGTCATCTGCCTTGTTTTTGCAGCAACAGCTGTAAGCACCAACCCCCACTGCGCCAGTTATGTCAGTAATAATTTTATTTCGATTTTATTACCAATTTAGCGATAGCAACGAAAAAACAAATACTTCACAATGCAGAGAAGTAACGTATCTGTTCATACGTTGTTCATAACCATAGCATTAGTTTAAACAGTTAAATTACCATAAACTTCTGATCTAAAAAGATGCTAGGAACTATTATATCCTATGTTTAAAGTGCAGCCTTTCTTTCATCAAAACTGGTAGACCAAAAAAAAAGTTATGTCCTTCCGTTTGGTAGTGGGAAGGCACCAGTAACATGCAAGAAGGTAATCCAGGGCAACTTTCAATGTTCCTGGATTTAAGTGATGGTACACTGCAAGTATGTCACTAGTTCTTCTGTACTCTGTCCGTGTTATCGTTCTGACAAGACTAAATAAAGTCTATAACCACTGAATAATACTGTGACAAAATTCTGCCTAAATAGAAAGGCATAAATCCCACTGCACATTTTTTATCATTCAGAAAACTGTGGAATTTCATAAATTTGTACACTAGCACATTACTGCAGCACAAGCTCCTAATGTTAATGTTTTAACTCTACTGCCAAATTTGGCCTAGGAGCTCTGAAGACATAAGTTGAAGTAACATTTTATTATTCTAATTTTCACTAATTCATACCAACTGAAATCAGACTTACACCTTGAAT